GCAATTGAAAGACAGTTTCTGTAGTCAGTTCCTTATCTTCAGCCAGGCTTTATGTGTGTTATTTAAAATTGTGGACTATATCTGTGTTTTTAGAGCATCTTTCAATATATGTTAAAATGCTGGCAGAGTAGGCATGCTGCGGGTTTGATCAGCCTGACTATTCTGGTGGGTGGGATCTAGGCCAGTGTTCGCTGGCTGGGGAATTCTGGGAGTTGAAGTCCAGACATCTTCAAGTTGCCAAGGTTGAGAAACACTGATCTAGGCTAAGGGCCTTCTCTGCCATTGCATCTGCTCTGTGGAACATATTACCCCTCCCCGCTAGTGTGAAGTCAGCCCCAACCCTCCTGACCTTCTGGAAGAGCCTAAAGACCAGGCTCTGCCAGTTAGCTTGGGCTCCAAAGGGGGAGCATCACAGTGGAGGTGGTTGATTGATTAACAATAGATCCCACTTCCCACCCATCCTGCTCCCACCTTCCCCATCATTAACTGAGCAGTAGTGCTTTAAATTTTGTATCAACTTATTTATGTTTTTAATTTATACATTTTTATTTTTTATGATTGTAAGCTGTCCTCCAGAGTTACTCTGAGGTAAGATGGGCAGCCTATACATTTTTATAAACAATAACTATAATAATAAAAATCCAGCATTTGGCATGTAAGTATTATTGGGTTTTTTCTTCCCAGCAGAGGGCAGTATGAAACAGGTGTTCTGTGTTCTTAGTTTAGTTCTTATGCTGAGAGCTACATGCAGACATACATTTACAATTTTGAGGCTGAACTTTACTTTTCAAGACAGAATTTACACTGAAAGTTCTGACAACATAATTCACATTAGAAGCAGCACAAATACTAAATACTTCCATTGTATCTTCCATCTTAGCATCTTCCATCGTATATTTTATGCACAGGCAAAAAATACAGGGATAGCTGAAGTTTCAGTTTGTCACAACTGCTGACTGATGCCATGACTTTATAATTGTTTTTTTTTCTTGGCTCCTTAATACATTTTCCTGAATACTGATGTGAATGCCAACTGCTGACACAATCCCTACAGGTGTTAGAAATGTTTTGTTCTTCCTGAATGCTATAATTTCCTGTCCTGTTTGAGAAGGAGGAGGAAGAGAAAGAAAAAGAAAAAGAAGAAGAAGAAGAAGAAGAAGAAGAAGAAGAAGAAGAAGAAGAAGAAGTGGTGTTCTAAACAGATCTTCTGTTTAAAGAGAATGCCATCGAAATGCAGAATCAGAATAATATGAACAATGCAAGATCCATACTTTGGCTCTGCTCTTCCGTTACTAGTGTATAAATACAACAGAAGAAAAATGGTTGCATGTATAATGAATGGAAGACAAAAACAGCAACAACCTAGTTAAATCAAACCAGAGGGTATGCCCAGGTGACACCATGAAAACTCTTAATATTGTCAATCCCTCAAAGTTAATTGTCAATAATGCCTAACTTTTCTTTTCTTTTTATTTGCCTGTTATTTTTATTCCTCCCATTGCCCTGCACATTTAGAGAAGAGAGTACCAAATATCTTTGTTTGTGGGAGAGACACTGTCTGCTAATGATCACAAATGCAAAGCAAGGCTGTAAATGGCTGTAAATAGAGGAGTGTGTATTAGAACACTGGTACCTGGTGGAGCAATGTCTCATTGACTTGAGCAATATATATTTTATAGTAAATACTTGCTGATTAATAGTTTCTAAAAGTTCCCAAGTTGGGAATGATGACATTTTCCTCTATTTATTGTTAATGGATGTTGTCCCCAATGGACAATGGAAAGCCTAACTAACTATTATAATTGACAGGAGAGACTACCAAGCACCTCTTATCTGAACTGAACAGGTAGAGGCCTTGGATTGTAAAACTAGTAAGATGTAGGTTGAAAGACAGATAAGCTTCTACTTTTGAATAATCTATCAACAATATCCAAATGTCTTATGAATGAAGTATTTTGATCTTAGAAAAAAAATGAAGTGGCAAGAAAATTTCTGCATCAATAAAGAAAAAAGAAAACAAACCAAATATAATAACAATAAAACCACCAGATAAAGTTCAGACTGTTTTTGTTATAAATATTCATAACCACTAACTATGTTGGTTCTACTAAATTTATAACAAATAAAACTAATTATCATATTGATCTAAATTCTTGGATTTACAATCCACCTAGAGGGCATACGTTCTGGAAGGTTATTCTAAAAAGCTATTCTAGTTTGGAAAAAGCAACTCTATGAAGTTTTTTGTGGGGGCATGCATAAATATACCCCTATGCATATATTTTCCAGAAATAAGGATGGTGACAAATTATGGATTAGTGTACTCAGAATTGTTAAAGATCCATTCTTCTGGCATAACTAATCTATATGCATCACAAATGCTGTTATTCTCGCAAACTATCCCAAATTGAGGCATGCATTTCCTTCAGATTTACAAGAAAATAATTAATCATATAATATTTGTATTATCAACATTCACATTTAAGCAACAGAAACTAACAGTAGGTAGTTCTTGACTTGCAATCATTCATTTAGTGACTGTTACAATAGTACTGAAAAAAGTGACTTATGACCCCCATGGTCACATGATCAAAATTCAGTCACTTGGTAACTGGCATAGGTTTATAACAGTTGCACTACCCTGGGGTCATTTGATCCCATTTGTAACATACCCAGCCGGCTTCTGACAAGCAAGGTCAATGGGAGAAGCTGGATTCACTTAATAACTGTGGGATTCACTTAACAACTGCAGTGATTCGCTTATCTGTGGCAAAAAGTTTGTAAAATGGGGCAAAATTCATTTAACTTTCTTGATTAGCAGCAGAAATTTTGAGCTCAATTATGCTCATATGTAGAGGACTACTTATAGTTGAATTGTACATCATATAGCTGTATATATTCTTATATGCAACCATAATGAATACAGAAACATTGAACAAAGACTAAAAAGAGAGATTTTATCCAGATCGGTTATAAAAAAAAATATTCCCTTCATTAAGACAACATTATCTGTAAGTAGTGTGTATATGAGTGTGGTTATGTATATGTGAGATAATTAGCAGGCCAGTAAGATGCAGATGGTGATGAAATGCTAGGAGAATTTGAAATGATGAAAAAAATCAAGACGAATATCACTGGAGCATATCAATGAGAAGTCAAGGGAGATAATACTAGCTTCTCCTGATATTTGTAATTTATCTAAATGCCTATAGTTCCTGTTCTGTTTCAAATAGAAATGATTTTAATGGCAAAGTGCATAATTAACAAATTGGGGCTACTAATTGCATTTTTATCTCAAATATTGGAATACTTTTAGTTTGCTACATTAACAGAATAATAAAAAACAGAACTGATTGAGCTATGTAAAATGAAGCTAACAATAACAGTGAGAAAGTGATCATTACAGGGAAAAAAAAGCTGTATATTTTTTCCAGTAATTTTTCAGCTTGTGCTGTGTCACAACTAACGTTCCAAGAAAGCCATGNTCCTGCTCTGCTATAGTCTTTTAGCACTTCCAGAGGGCCTTTAGGGAAGGGCTATTAGCCATATTTATTCAGATATTATATATTTTCTTATTTTGAAAATAAAATTATATGGCCTAAGACAACAGTCTTAGATAGTTAATAAAGAATATACAAATAATAAAAACACAATTAAAATTTGTTACATATCACCAATGTCATAATAGTATGCTCTCAAGCAAGCAAACAAACAAACAAGCAACCCCCTCATATTTTTTAAGTCCTGGCCTCACTTCCAATCCTAGCCCAATTCAACTCCTGAGGATAAGAGCAAATTTTTAGGGTCCCTGGAAGCTTAGATGTTAGGGACCCTCCGCATCTGAGGGGTATTGGTGCTACTATGGAAAAGGCTTGCTTCCTAGGTCCCAACAGATTATAATATTTAATGGAGAGACCTGGAGAGAGCCCGGTCTAGATGGGTGAGTAGATATCCCAAGGGAAAAAAAGAGGTCTTTCAAATAACCTGGCTCCATGCCATCAAAGACTTTAAATATAATAATCAACAGCTCAGATTGGTCTTGGAAATAAACTATAAGCCAGGGCAGTTCATACCCCATCAATGTAGCACAGACAAAAATTCAGGCTGCACCCAGAACTGCATGCAACACAACATTCTAGACCAGTTGAAGTTTCTGGGTGGACATCAAGGGCAGCTCCTTGTAAAGTGCATTGTAGTACTCCAAATGGGAAGTGTTTAGGGCAGGAATGACTCATATGTAGGGACTTCTGGTCCAGGAATTGGTGTCATTGGTTCACAAGTGTGATTGGTGCAAAGCCTGCAACTTGTGCACCAACTCTTATTTATTATTAGACATATTGATTTGTTCTTGTGGTGTATTGTATTGTGTTACTTTTACTTACTATGTCAAATCTTATTCTGTTCAGTACATTGTCATAAATTATGTGATGTAGATTTGGAGACACCTACATCTGGTAAATGAATTGCAATAAATAATATGTATTCAAAATTACAATATCAAAATTACAATAGTTAATGGTCCTTTAAAGAACTGGTTTAAGAGAAATGGTTTCCACCATTAATTCATCTACATTGATGAATGTGTAGGTGTGTGTATATTATGGGTGTGTTTTGTGGTAAGAAATTGGCTCAGGTTCAAAAAGCTAAAAAGAGTAGGTGTGCCATTTGCATTGTGCAAATAATGCAGAAGGTCATTGAATAAAGTAATTCTGTATGAAACAGTATTAAACTGGACTTCCATATACTTTTCATGAGCTTAAACTGTGCAAACACATTATTTTTAATATAAAATGCAAAAATATAAACACCATAAAAAATCAAGGCAATCTAAGAGAGGAAAAACAGTTCAATCTTCACTACAAAATAAAAATAGTATAATTTATTCTTATTATAATTTTATAATTGAAATCAATAAGTACTAATATTTATTTATTTTATAACCAAGATTTGTGCATAGGATGAGACTCGAAAGATGGTACAGAGAACAAAGCACTTCTCACCTTAGCTGAATGGTGGATTTTGTCACTTGAGTAACTCTGGGGTATTGGAGGAACAGGATATTCATTTTCTCCTCTGGCCATGCTCTTTTTGACTTCTACATAGGATACTGGGAAGATTCCTTGCTTATTTGTTCCTGGTAGCTTGCCTTCATACCAGTTTTGATCAACCCGTCTAAGAAGAATGACTTTGTCTCCCTGAAAGGCAACACTCAATAGATGAAAAATTGTTGTCCCATTATGAATGCATACAATATAAAGCAATGGAAAACAAATTCCTTAACTGTGATGGAATATTAATGAAAGTGAATAGTTAAGAGAAGCCAAGAAGTCCAAGGTCAAAATGCTTCCCATACAGGTTCAGGCCTTAAAATAACTTGAGACACCATTCATAGAATCAGTGCCTGTCTAAATGAGTTTTTCAATGGAAAGAATTGTGTGGCTCCTAGTACATGCCATGACCCTAATCTGCCAGGTAAGAATGGAAATTCCTCTTCCAGTGAAACTGTAGTGAGGCAAACATAGAAAGCTACAATAATTGTCTAATGGTAGTCCTACCTAGTGAAAATATATGGGAAAGGAGGGTTCAAAAATTGCATTTGCTTTTCAAAATGTTTGTGCTGATCAAGGAAATTTACCAAGAGTTTTCTTCCTTTGTAGCACTTTGTCCAAGAAATCTCTTTATTGACCTTTGAAACATCCCCCTTATCACAGACCTCTGCAAGAAAGATTTTTACATGATAACATGGTAGTTCAGGTTACGAGGGAGAGGCCTCTTTTGAAGACCCACTTGTGTAGGCACAGAGCATAATAAAAATAAAGAGATTTCTGTTAGCTCTAGGAGGGAGAAATATCTTTGTAAAGACCTCATTCTGTTGACAATGTATGGGGCCCTTTAAAAAGAACTGTTTTAAAAGGAAAGTACAAAGAGTTTTCTTGATCTCATTTTATAAAGTAAGAACTGGCATTTTTTTCTGTGGATCTTTAAAATAAAATATAGACAGTCCTTGCTTAATGACTCTAATTGAAACCAGCAACTGCATTGTTAAATGAAGCAGTAAGTAAGCAAAACATCACATGGCCAACTCATTTAGCAATGGCAGTTCCAGTTCCATTCATTAAGTGAATCATCTAAGGTCATTAAGCAAGACATCATGTGACTGCAACTTGTCATCTCTTGCCAGCTTCCCCATTGACTTTGCTTGTCAGAAGTCAGCTGAGAAGGTCTCAAATGGCAATCACGTGTCCACAGGGATGCTGCAACGATTATAGGTGTGAAGATTGGTCATAAATAACTTTTTTCAACGCTGCCAGCACTTTGAATATGTGCTAAACAAATGATTGTTAAGCAAAGAACCACCTGTATGTAAGAAGACCCTTAAAAATACTGGGCCAGAAAATGGCCTTCTCAAAGTGGATTGTAGGATACAGCAAAATTTGATATTGTATATACTGTATATAGAAAGAAATAAGCTTTACTTCTTTCCTCCAGATACAGTTCTGAGTCAGATTTATAGCCTAGCATCTGGTATTTGCACTGAAAGGAAACTTCAGTCCCAAATATCTTCAAATAGTATACAGGTAATCTTTGTTTAGCGAATGCCTCAAACAATGACTGTTCAAACTCATAACAGTGGTGAAAAAAATAACTTTGTAACCAATCTTCACACCTATAATCGTTGCAGCATCCCTGCGGCCACATGATTGCCATTTGAGACCTTCTCAGCTGACTTCTGACAAGCAAAGTCAATGGGGAAGCTGGCAAGAGATGACAAGTTG